CCCCCCCCCCCCCCCCCCCCGCCAGCCGGGAAGAGGGGCCGCCTACGGGGTGTAGGCTCGGGCCCCCTCCCCGCGCGCCCTCGCTGGACCCCACGCCCTGGGAAAACGGGACGTGAAATAAGAACAGCGGCCACCCGGCCAAGTGCGCGTCCGACTTTGCCTGACCGTCAATACCCGCCAAGGGAGGAGAGCGTTCGCCTGAAGTTAGGGGAGAAAGGACACCTGGGCCCCACCCACACCCACCCCTGTCTAGGTAGGGGCGGCTCCAGGGGGCAGGAGGGGCCCGTGCCACGATGGGCGCTGTGGGTGCGCACCGTGGCCCTCGCCGCCCTCCTGTGGGTGAGTGCGCACGCGCAGCGCAGGCCACTGGGCAGGGGCTGCCGTCGGGTCACCTAGGTCCTCTCCTAGACCCAGGGTAGGACACCTGCCTGCTCACCTAGGGAGCCGCGGGCAGGGCGGGTGAGGTCCTGCGCTCGCGTCCCCGCCCTCACCCCCCGCTCCAGCCCGGGGTCAGCGGACATCCCCCGTGGGGGGCCGGCCCCTCGGTACTTCGAGCCCGGCGGCCATCGGGTCCCTGCCGCGAGGACTCTGTGTGCGGCGTGAAAGCGACCACCTAGATGAGCAGGAGTGGGTCGTCCCTTATGATAAGCTGCCCACAGGTGACCCTGCCTTAGACATGTCCCCTGACCTCCCTCTCTGCCTCAGTCTCCGCATCCATAAAATGGGGCCACGACGGCACAGTCCCGAGGATGCAAAGAGCCCAGCGCTGCGGCTCGCCGGGCGTGTAGGCGGCAGGCGCGGCCCCAGGGCCTCGAGGCTCAGAGCCACAGGCCAAACCCGCAGCTGCGGAATCCGACGGAGCTGAGCCCGGTCGGCGGCGTTGCCTCGTGCCGGAGGCTGTGTCTGACGCCTCCGTCAGCGACGGTCCGGGCCTTGTCCCCGCGCCGAGCGCTGGCTCTTGTCCCCCACAGGGTTTCGCTACGTGACCTGCCACGTCCACAACTGCTCGGATTCGGCGCCGGCGGCCTCGTTCCCAGGCCCCATTGACCACAGTTCTCTGACCGTGCAGGACGATTACATCTTCCTGAAGGTAAGGCCACTTCCGCCCCCCTGGGGACCCGCCGGCCGGTGTCGCAGTGTGAGCCCCGCTGGGGAGGGGGAGTCGCTCCGACAGGAGGCGAGAAAATGGCTGTTTTCCTTTCCGGGCTGCTTCATGCGCGGCTTCCCTCCCCCGAACTGGGCTGCTGGCACCCCTGCCCCCCCGCCAAGGACCCACAGAACCACAGCCGTGAGGCGGGGATGCTACTCCCTGCCCCCCCCGCCTGCCCCTCAGGAACCTCCCGCAGTTTGCCCCCCCGCCCCCGGCCCAGGCCCGGTTTCTCCCTCTGGTTTCACTGACTCTGGATCCGATAGGGGCTGTGTGGTCACTGCCTTGGGCGCCAGGCACCAGCCGTGCTCAGCCCAGCAACTGGGACCCTGCGGCCCGTCCACGCGGTGCTCAGGTCACGGTCGGGACCACCCTTAAAAACCACGTGGTCTGACCACTGAGAAACTCCAGCGAATAACTGGTCATACGACGTCTTGATTCCTTCTACTGATGAAGAGCTCACTCCTTCAAAACCAGCTGTCCGTCTCCTGGACAGCGTGGGTCTTTAGAACGTTCATCCTGGCGCGAAGTGTTGGCTTTGCCCTCCTGCCCCCTGGGACCCCGTGACACAAGTGCAGAGGCTCCTCCGCTCTCAGCCCCCTCTTTGTCCTGTCCCGGGGACGCCTCCTCGCCCCCGCTGCCCCGTCCACACAGGACACGGGCTCGCTGTGCACGAGCGTCCGGATGACGCTGATCTGGCAGGAGCAGGGCTCATCCCGGCCACACGGGAGGTGGGACAGGAAGGGCCCCCGCTCTCCGCAGCCGGGACAGGCGGCTCGTCCCTGCGGTTTGCTCCATCTGTGCCAGAGGGGCTGCGGCTGGGGCTTGGTCTCCATTCCTCACGGTCACGGCGGCCTGGACGGGCCTGTGACCTGTGACACAGTTGATGTGGGACAGGGCACGCCCAGCCCCCAGCGCCCGCTCATACCGCCAGGGCCCGCGGGCCTCCGTCAGCCTCCCGCCCTGTGCTGCTCTGGTCCCGAACTTTCCCAAAAGCTGCCCAGAAAAGCTGTCTTAAGCCCCCGCTCGGAGGTCACCGGGACAGTGCTTCCGTGCCCCCCGCTTCCCCATCTTCTTCGTCCTCGGAGGCTCCCGCCCGGTGTCTAGGGGCCCCTCCCACCAGCACTCACACCCACAAGGTTTGTGACGAACCTGAAAATCCGCTTCCCACATCCCCCCTTGAGGTGCTGAGCAGCTCTTGGTGCTGGTGCCTTTGCAGAGCACCAGTGGGACGGGGGGGGGGGGGGGGGGGGGGGGCAAACCTAACGGCGCCACTGGCTGGCTTTGGGAAGGGCCATCATTCCGCCTCTGAGCCTCTACTTGCTGACCCATAAAATGGGCATAACAGGATAACAGGTCCTGGCCTCTTGGAGGCCTGGGAGCGACGCCGGCTGCATTCAGTGGCTGGGGGAAGGGCCAGCCAGATGCGGCACATGAGCTGCCATTCGGGGAGGAATCCCGTGGTTCAGCCACAGCTCGGCCAGAGGCGCCACGTGGGCAGGGGGCAGACTCCCGTATGAAGGATGTTGACGTGTTTAACACATTATGTTCCCCGGGTTAAAAGTCACGTTCACATCTCAGGGGTGGTGGCGGTTCTGCCCACCCCACAAGCTCGGGCCGGACCGCAAGCCCCCTCCCCCCGGGGCTGGTGGAGGAGGAAGGGAGCCATGTTTGCAGGAACCCTCCTTTCTGCACCGGGGCCCCAGAAGGCCCCACTCTGTCCACCACCAGCTCCCGGCAGGAATGGGCCTGGCCCGCCCTGGCTGGCTGAGCATCCGCCCTGGGCTCCCCGGTGAACCTGAACGTCTGGAGGCCCAGGGGGCTGCGGGCCCGGCCATGACCCCTGCTCCATCCAGGAGCTCAGCTGCTGACAGAGTCAGGGCTCTGAGAAGGGGCACCCGCCTCTCTCGGCCACTCTCTCCAGTGCCCTCGCCCACCTGCTAAGCTGGTCTGTCCCTGGGCTGCTTGGCTCTTCCATCTGAGGAAGCAGGTGCTACCCTGTCCTCCTCCAGGAAGTCTGCCCGGCCTCTCCCACCCCACGGCACTCTCTCTCTGACCTCCCGGACCCCCATGCGTCCCCCGTGCCAACACTCCCTGCTCAGGGGGCCCTGAGGGCCAGACCATCGCAGCCCGCAGCCCCTCGCCCTCGGGATCGAATTGTCTAGAGAAACCTCTCCACTCTGTAATCGTGATGCTTTGCACATCGCCAGCCGGTTGTAGCTTGTTGATTTGTAATAATAACAATTCCAGCCGCTCTGTGATTCCTGCTGGGACCATGGGGCCGCCCCACGTGCGTCCCAGATCCCGGTCCCCACGACTGCCCACCATGTAGTTTCTGATACTGTCCTCCCCATTTATGGGGGGAAACTGAGGCTCAGAAAAGCTCTCCCAAGGCCACTTGGTTTGCAAGGGTGAGGCTGGACTTCGAGCCCAGGCAGTGACGCACAGTGGCCTCTGCTCTTAAGCGGAGACCTGCACTGCTGTGTACATACGCGTGCACACACACACACACACACACACACACACGTACGTGCAGGCACACAATGAACGCATGCGTGGGGGGGTCACACATTCACACTCACACGTGCGTGGACGCGTACCCACAGGCATGGGCACACCCGGTGAGGCGCCGATGTCCCCTGTCATCCCCGGGGCCACGCCCTCTGCCCACGCCCCCCGCCCTTCTCCTTGCCCGTCCCCGGAAGGAGCCTCTCCTTTCTGTCTCTGTGCCTCCACTTTCTCATCTTCAAGACGGAAACGATCACGGTGTGTGGACGCCAATGCGAGCACAGTCTCAGCGAGTGTGGCCTCCTGTTCCGTTGCTCGCGCCTCTCGGCTCGCTGGTCGTCTTGTGGCCTGAGCTTACCTTCTGCCGGTCTCTTCCTCCACCCAGTGGCTGTCCACGTACTCCCTCTAAGAAAAGTTCTGAGCCAGAGAACATTTTCCACCTTGTTCCGTAACCTGGATATAGGGAAACAGGTGCTGGGAGAGCATGGAGAGAGGTAGTTCTACCAGAGAGAGGTGGAAGCTGACTTCCCAGAGGGTGGGCGTTTGGCATAGGGCTTTGAGGGACGAGTAGGAGTCTGTGCATTTCAGGCAGCGCAGAGTAAAAGGGCATTCTCACCAGCTGAAACACAATCTATAGTGTTTCGTCCGTGACCTGTCTGGACTGGAAACTAGCTTCTTGGAATTGTGTTCTCGCCTCCTGTTTAGACGACCTCCACAAACCGGACCAAGTATTACATCTCTTATCGTCGCAACGAATTCGTCCTGATGAAGCTTCCAAAGTACGCACTGCCCAAGGTAAGAGGGGCCCCCGCAGCCCCCGCGGCCCTGTGGCCGGGCCCCGAGCCCACACTGCCTCGTATGCAGGTGTGGCTGTGCACCACCAGTGACTCTCCTTGCCTGCTCTCCACTCCGGCCTCACACGTTCCCAGCTCCATCCGGTCTTAGGGCCTCCTTCCTGACGCTCAGGGTGCCGGGATCCCCTGGGTCCATCTCCCACTCTCATCTGGAGTTTCGTTCTATTCACCTCTGCATTCCAGCTGCCTGATATAGAAACAGGTACATAGCAGGTGCTCAGTTAATGCCGCTTCCTTCCCCTTCGCTGGGCAGGCGAAGAAGAGGGATGTGGGGGCTGCCTAGATCCTGCCCCCAGCCCTGCCTGGGGACCAAACTCCACCGTGCCCTCCCTGCTGGTGGTATTCTCACCCCACTTCAGTCTCTGACTGACATTCAGAGAGGCTCAGTAACCTGTCTGAGGTCACACAGCTGGTGAGAAACCAAAGCTGGTCTAAACCCAGGTCCCCGTGAGTCTGAGACCAGCCTCGCGCCCCGTCTCCCTCCGGAGGACATCGGATGGCCCACTCGCAGGCCCCCGTCCCAGGTGCTTACAGTTTAGAAGCGGCCGTTCCTCCCACACATATTTATTGAGCAGCAAATATAAGCTAGAATCTGATGCTACAGCCCCTGCCCTTGTGGGGTTTTCAGAGGTTTTCAGAAAACCTGTAGACAACTGTCCACCACGATTGCGGGCTGGGCTTTGCACTGTGAGGGAAGGACAGGCAGAGACCGAGGGCGAGGAAGACGGGGGTGGCTGGACCAGCAGCCTACGCCACAAGCACGGCCTCCTGACCCTGAGCGCTGGCCGCGCCTCCTGCACCTGAGTCCTCGCCTGCAGGCGGCACCCCCGCGAGCTTCCTTCCTTCCCGCTGCCGTGGGAGGAGGGCCGCGGAGAAGAATGACGAGGCTGTGGTAGCAGACACAGCCCTCGCGCCACAAGTGGTGGCAGGAATGAGGCACGTACGTGCCCCCGTGTGACCCGGTCTCGGGAAGGTTTCAGATCGTGGCGTTTGTGCGGCCCTGAGCACGCTCCCCCGGGGCCGCGCCGGGACCGGTGACGGGCAGCTGAGCGTGCTGGGTGACCTGGCTGGCTCTCTGGGACCTGCCCCCCAGGGCCCTGCAGCGTCGAGACCGGGCGTCATCTTGCTGAGCACTTTGCCCAGACAGGCAGCAGGGCCGTTTCCCCCTCGCCAGACTCCGTGGGGTGGGGGCGGCCGGAGCCCCGGGTTTCCCCCCGACAATCTGTAGAACCGGCTGATGGCGCTTCCTGATCAGATCTGGGTGTTTTATGATGAACCTGTGACTCTCGTCTGCTTCCTCCCCTTAAGCCAAGTCCATCCTGTTTATTTTTCTTTACTTGCTGGAGTAACGTCAGGAAGACAAGAGAAATTAGAGCAGAGGGGAGCCTCCCTCCCTGGCTAGCCGTCCCCTGTCCCCGTCCCCCGTCGTGTCCCCCGTCCCCTGTCCCCGTCCTGTCTCCTGTCCCCACCCCTGTCCCCCACCCCTGTCCCCCATCCTGTCCCCCGTCCCCCATCCTGTCCCCCGTCCTGTCCCCCATCCCCTGTCCCCTGTCCCCCACCCCTCTACCCACCCCTGTCCCCCATCCTGTGTCCTGTCCTCACCCCTGTCCCTGTCCCCCGTCCCCCATCCCTGTCCCTCGTCCCCTGTCCCCCGTCCTGTCTCCTGCCCTCACCCCTGTCCCTGTCCCCCGTCCCCCGTCCCCCATCTGCCCAGCCCTGTGTGGTTCTTCTCACGGTCCTTGGCCACATGCCCCGGTGACTGTCACACAGCCGGATCAGAGTAGGCATTCAGTGTACCGTCGACGGGGTATCGTGAGACTGTTCCCAGGATGGTGCCCGAGACCCACGGTCGGTGACACAGAACTGCCCGTGCAGGGGACTGTGCCTCGTTTAGCCAGATTTCTGTGGTTCGGGCCCTCGGTTGTTTCCTGCAAGGCAGAGGTGCTCACATATTGTGCCTGCCGGTATGTCATTATTTTCTTTAGTTCAAGTTGAGCACCCTTTGCTTGAATTTTTTACTTGTAATGATCTAAAAAAAAAAAAAAAAAAAAAACCACCTTCCTTCACAGAAGAAAACAAATAGGCAAAGGCTGTAGACAGACAAGAAGAGAGAAATCCAGACGACCATCGATTATGTGAAAACGTCCACAGGAATAAAGCAAATGCAAATTTACTTCCAAGGAAAATAGTCCTTCATTTGTAAAAACCTCTATAAAATAAAACAAAACCCATGAGGCATAAGAACGAAGGGCGCGGCGGCTCCCGGACTTCTGGCAGGTGCAGCTGTGTGGGGTCTATTCGAGGGCTCGCGACGTCCAGGGAATGTGTGGACAGTGAGTCAAGGGGAATGTCCACACTTTTAACTCTCCCCTGATAGCAGCCGCCTCCCTGTCCCCTGCCCCCGCCTCGTGGCGGGTGGCTGGGCTCATGTGCCCAGAGCTGCATGCACACTGCTCGCGGGAGCCGGGAATGCCATGGGGACCCTGTTCTCCAGACCCTGGGGTCGTGCTGGGAGTTGAGTGGAGGTGCAGACAACCCGCCCGGCAGCCTTCACTGCAGCCAGCAAAGGGTCAGAGCCTGCCTCCACCCCCGCCCTCCTTTAGGGTCCCTCTTTTCCCCTTTTGGGAGCAGGGATTTAGGGACCAGGATGTTCAAAAGCAACCACGCGTATGTTGGAATTCAGAAGAGTCACCGAGCACGCCCCGGGGAAAAGCTCGGCCTCACAAAAGACCTTAAGAGAAGAACTTAAGTTTTTAGCTCAGACTGATCCCTGGTACAGAAACAGAAAACCAAACGCAAGGAAGGGAGAGAATCTGATTTCCATAGTTACTGCATTGTCAGATCCCAGTGTCTGGTCTTCCGCAGCAACAACAAATTACAAGGCATAAAAAAAAAAATACAATCCAGTCAAAGGAGGAAAAGCAACAGAAGCCATCCCTGAAAAGACCGGATGGCAAACCTACCAGACAAAGACTTTAATACAATTGTCCTAAAGATGCTCAGAGAGCTGGAGGAAACCATGAAGCAGGTCAAGGAAATGATGTACAAATAAGCAAAATAGAAATAACCAAGAAAGAGAGAACATAAAAAGGAACCAAAATACATTCTGTGGCTAAAAAGAACAACCGTGGAAACACAAAATTCACGCGATGGATTGGAAGGCGAGTTTGAACAGACAGAAGAAAGACTCAGACACTCGCAGGTAGGACCTTTGACGTTATGGAGTCTGAGGGACATTGAGGAAAAGTAAGCACCATCGGGGGGGGGGGCAGTGAGACACCAGCAAGTGACCAATATATGTGCGGTGGGTGTCCCAGAAGGAGAGGGGACAGACGGGGCAGGGAAACTATTTTAAAGAAAAAAACAATGGGGCCTCCTGGGTGGCTCAGTTAAGCGTCCGACTCTTGACTTTGGCTCAGGTCATGATCTCACAGTTCGTGGGTTCGAGCCCCACGTCGGGCTCTGTGCTGACAGCTCAGAGCCTGGAGCTTCTTCCGATTCTGTGTCTCCCTCCGCCCCCCCCCTTTCATGTGCTCCCTCTCTCTCAAAATAAATAAACATTAAAAAAAAAGAAGCCATGCCCAAGCTCTCCCGAAATAGTGAAATACCTGAATATAGACGTCTTAAAAACCCTGATGAAGTCCAAGTAGCACAAATGTAAACAGCTCCACGCCAAGAGTCAGACCATTAAGAGACAAAGAGAATCTCGGCAGCGGCAAGAGCGACATGTGTCCTGACGTACAAGGATCCTCAGGAGCTAATCAGCAGATTCCCCATCAGAAACCGTGGAGGCCGGAAGGCGGCGAGCTACTGAAAGAATCTGATCAAGGGGCTGTCCCGTGCGTTTGATATAAAAATCTGCGGAGAATCTTCCATTGTGCTTACGACAAATGTTTCTACGCTTTCCAAAATCACTTCTTTAGAATGTATTCACTACGACCGGTGGGTGCGACAGGTGCGTGCACTGTTTCTCCGTGCTGGCCTCCCCTCCCCCTCCCCCGTTTCCGTGACAGTCTTACCTCTTCGTTCCTCAAGGAAACGGGCGTAAAACTCGTAGAGGCCCCTCGATATCCATTCTTCCCCAAGTCTCTGCCTTAACAAACCCCCACTTTCAGCTGGTCATTGCTTCAGGACAAGTCCATATTTCCCAGATCCCTTTGCAGCAAACGTGGTTATGTCCCTCACGTCTGGCCCCCACATACGGCAGTGGGCTTGCCGGAGGGACTTCTGAGAGCCCCCCGCTGAGGGCGAGCCTCTGTTTCCCTCTGTCCTCCCTCCTTCCTGTTGCTCGAATGCCACCGTGAGGGCTACAGCTCTAACCATCATCGTGAACCATGAGGACAAGGGCCATGCCGTGGGGACAGTGGGACGATGACCCAGAAGGAGCCTCTGTCCCTGGCGGCTTGTTCGAACCTCCATACCGGACTGTGCACCTCCAGACCTCTTTTACCTGGGGGAGGGACGAGCTATCTTGTTTGAACCGGCTTTTTTTTTTTCTAGTTTCTTTCACTTGCAACCAAAGCTCATTCTACCTGATAACCAATCTTGGTAACTTTGGTATTTCCTTCCACGTATCTCTCCAGGCCATACAAATATAGACACAAACACATCGGCACACACCCACAGCTATACATACAGACACAGATGCATACATCTGATTGTTTTTCGTGTCCTTTGTTTGAAAATGAAGTCAACACATGTCTCTCTGGCTTCTAACTTCTCTTGTTAGAGACAGAATCACGAAACTTCAAACGTGAGCAAACACTTCGTATTATTTATCTCTTCTCTCTTATCTTTTTATCATATTCTGTAATCAGCAAAGATTTTTTTTAAATATTTTTATTTATTTTTAGGAGAGAGAGAGAGAGACAGCGTGAGCAGGGGAGGGTCAGAGAGAGAGGGAGTCACAGACTGAAACAGGCTCCAGGCTCTGAGCTGGCAGTCAGCACAGAGCCCGACGCGGGGCTCGAACCCACGAACCGCGAGATCATGACCTAAGCGAAAGTCAGACGCTTAACTGACTAAGCCACCCAGGCGCCCCTCAGGAAAGATTTTTTAAAAGACTATTCTCGACATTGGCGTGCCAGAAGTGAAATGGGCATCCTCTTAGCCAGGCTGGTGGGGAAGGAATTAATCTAAACTCTCAGGACCGTCATTGAACATGTAGTCAGAGCTTTCAAAATGTTCCCACGCTCCAATGTGGCAAGTCCCCTAGAATTTATGTTCAGGGTGTGATCAGAGAGGCAGAGACCTGTGTCTAGGCGTGTTTACGCCTGCCTTGCACATAATGTTGGAGATGCTAAAGGCTCAACAGAATGGTTCAATGAAACATGGTACACCAACAAAAATAATAGCATGCAGTTGTCAAAAGGTGCGTATGCGCGATTCTAATGACGGAGGGAAACGCTCCCCGTATAAGATGAAAGAGAGAGCTCCACACTGTAGGTGGGGAGAAAAAAACATATGAGTCACACTTGGGAAAAGGCCCCAAAGTGAACATTTCTATTTTTATTTATTTTTTAAAATGTTTACTTATTTTTGAGAGAGACGGAGAGACAGAGAGCAAGCGGGGAGGGGCGGGGAGAGAGAGAGAGCGAGATGCAGAATCCAAAGCAGGCTCCAGGCTCTGAGCTGTCCGCACAGAGCCTGACGTGGGGCTTGAACTCACGAACCGCGAGATCATGACCAGAGCTGAAGTCGGATGCTCAACCGACTGAGCCCCCCAGGCGCCCCAAAAGTGAACATTTTTATTTTTATTTTTTTATTTTTTAAAGTGAACATTTTTAAATGTAGAATCAGATCTCCCTGGGGAAGGCATTGCTGGAAACTTCTAGCCACTTCCTACGTTTTTCTGTTTGCCAGATCATAGTGCACTTACCCGGGTGACGACGGTGGGATTAGGGCCACAGCGGGGGATGCTGGCCACCTACCACGTGATCGCCGCCGCCGCCAGCGCTGGCCCACGGGACGCCTTCCCCACTGGGTCGGCGGATTGCCAAGCCCCGTGGCCCTGGCCTGGACACTCCTTGGTTCCAGTCATTTCCGCAGTTTCTGTCCGTAGACAAAGGGCCCCAGCTCCTGCTGCCGGGGACCTCGTGACGAGGCCCCCTTTTCTGCAGAGCCCTGCCTTTTGTCTGAGCAGCGCAGGGGCTGGGCGGGGAGGGCAGGCGGGGGCCGTCAGCACTGTGACCTGCCCAGGCAGCCGGATCTTCGTTCTCGCTGGAGGCCATGCCCCATGGACGAATGGGGACTTGGTCTGTTCTTAGAGAAGCCCGCTTCCCCTGTCTCTGCCCGGCCTGCTATCAGAAGACGCACAACCCCGTCCTCCAATGGCAGGGGGCGGTGGGGGGGTGTTCCCAAGGGCAGAGCCCGCCCGTGGCTCCCTGCTGAGCCCAAGTGCCTGGACCGGCCTGGCACACAGTAGGTGACTTATGAATACCTGCTGAGTGAACAAACCAACAGACGACTGGCCTGATCGTCGGGATGGGCCTGGGGCGGGGGGAGGCCCAACTGCCCAACCCCCACCTTCTGGACGTGACCCCTGGCGGTGCATCCTGACCTCTGAGGGTGCTGGGGAGACACGGGGGGATAGCCTGACGTGGGCATCCCTCCCACAGCCAGTGTGCGGGGCTGGAGCCTCGCCCCCATTTTGGAGGTGGGAAGACAGAGGCCCGGAGGGTAAAGGGACTTGTCCAAGGTCACAGAGCTGAGGGCAGCAGCAGGATGAAGGCCTAGGTCAGCAGGACCGCCAGAGAGCCCTGGCCGGCACCCCAGCCCCGCCCCGAGCCCGGCCGCACGCCACGCTGACCCAGCTGTCCCCGCCCTGCCCGCAGCACCTGCAGGTCATCAGCACAGACGAGAACCAGGTGTTCGTGGCGGTGCAGGAGTGGTACCAGACCGACACCTACAACCTGTACGAGTCGGACGCGCGCGGCGTGCGCTACTCACTCGTGCTCGAGGACGTGCGCAGCTCCCGGCGGGCGGGCGACGGCGTGCTCATCGACATCCTCCAGGTGGGTGCCCACCCGCTCCTCCTCCTCCCTCCCCTCTCCTCCCTCCACTGCCTTCCCCTCCCCTTCTCCTCCCCCTCCCCTCCCCACCCCTCCCCTGCCTTTGCCTCCCCTTCTCTCCCCTCCCCTCCCCTCC